ATTTTTTGCTTAAAATCAAGATCACGATTCTTATTCACGATTTTTTTAGATGTAAAATAAAGGTTAATGTGATTTTATTTATTTATTTTTATTGTTAATTCTCAAGCATATCATCATCTTGGAATTTTAAGGTTCTATCTGCGTCCTGAATGATTTTGAGTTATTGAGTTTCAAAGTTTTTGCAATCCATATAGCAAACAGTATTTGTGTAACATTTTTTTTAAAAGTCTTAATGTAAACAACTTATAAAAAAAAACATCCCATATTGTAAATAAGTATAAATAAGAATATGTCAATACCTCTATTTTGACAAAAATGTCAGATAGAACCTTATAATTCTAAGGTGATGATATGGTAAAACAACACTAATAATATTAAGCCTGTGTGTAGGTCTACTGTTGCTTAAAATGCTCAATTTTTTACAGTCATTATTGTGGACTTGAACAGATTATCAATATGTCCTGTTCATCAGAATACAACTATTCATAATCATAAAGTTTAACTATTTTGTTTGAGACATATGCTTGTCATTTATCATTGACAGCATTAGTAGACCGTTTGTTTTCACTGGTAAAATCAGACATTTGTCATTATCAGATTACTTCTTGCATTATATTCAACATTATAAGCTAGAGTGTACTGAAACTGTTAAACATTTATTTTCACGCACAACACTATGTGTTAGCTATTAAAGAAAAAAAAAATTAAATGCTTGTCGTAATCATTACCTTAAAATGCGTTATAATCTTTTAAATGATGTGCGACACATCACACATGCATATCATTCTTTCAGCATGGCTCTCGAACAATCGCTCTGTGCAACAAGCTGAGCGTTATTTACAACTTTATTACCTGTTATTCACAGCCTACACAGGTTCTGTTCACTAAAGTAGCCGTCGTTGTTGTGCACACGCGTGTGTTCAGGGTAGTAAACAAACAGCCTCTGGGTCAGCCCACGTGTGATTTCGCGGACGCAAATACATATTGCATGAAGACAGAAATAACATTTCTGAGTGAATTACACCTTATAAATACAGTATGTGACACTTTTAATGCCATTTGAAGGTGTTTATGTTGCTGCTAAGACTTGTGCGACCGCCTTTAGGGTTCTCTCCTGACCTTGAAAATATAATTGGCTGAATCGTATAAAAAGCTGAATTAAGATAGTGTGTAGGGTCGAATCGAGATCGTGATCTTTTTTGATTAATCGCGCAGTCCTAATTGCAAGATTTTATTTTTCTGCGATACATGTTGCATTACTGAGTATAATTTTAATAGATGAAATGAATAGCTCTGTTTGAAAAGAATTAATCAGTTTAGGACAATTTTAAAAGATAGTTGGATGATTGGAGCACATTTGGATAAAATGGATCAAAACCAATCGAAAAGCAATGATAAATGCAGTATTGAAGTTACAAATAAAAAAACTGCTTTATGGTTTTCTTGCAAGTCTAACAGTATTCAAGCACACAAATTGAATAATGAGAACTAAATAACATTAAATAAGTTAATGTGAACTAAATAACTCTGGATAATCTTCATTGCATATACACTATCTGCATTGCAGAGATGCATGGATGCAGTTGTCATAATTAAAAAATTTAAAAATCAAAGTGTAATTGATCATATTTTATTTTGGTAAAAGAAGCGTAATCTAGAGGCCTTTGTCTTTCATATAAGCCACTTCTGATATCAAATGAACAACTAGAAGTCAGGTTTTTATTTGTTGTTTTTAAAACTTTAAGACTTTTGTCAGGTAGTGCATACTGCACATAAATACAATTTATGTTTCTTGAAGTTACTAAAATCTTAACTTCCTGTGCCTGAATGCTTTAAACTGGCTGTAAAACACATGCAAATGGGGTGACTTTATGGTTAAACTTTGCAATTACTGCACAATGGTATGTGTTTTTAATGCCTACTCAACTATAATCCCAATTCAATGTTGCGGATCCTGCTATTGTGACTATTGTGGATGTACACATTGCAATATTGATGCTGAAACAATACTGTTGTAGTCAGTATTATAATCCCCCCTGAATTATTAGCCCCCCTGTTAAAATTTTTTTTAAACACATTTTTAAACATAATAGTTTTAATACATTATCTCTAACAGCTGATTTATTTTATCTTTGCCATGATGACAGTAAATAATATTACACTAGACATTTTTCACTTCTATACAGCTTAAAGTGACATTTAAAGGCTTAACTAGGTTAATTATAAAAAAATATAGCTAAAAAGGCCTAATAATTTCGTCTTTAAAGTGGTGTTTAAAAAAATTAAAAACTGCTTTTTGTTCTAGCCGAAATAAAACAAATAAGACTTTCTCTAGAAGAAAAAATATTATCAGTTGTACTGTGAAAAGTTCCCTGCTCTCTTAAACATCATTTGAGAAATATATAAAAATAAATAAATAAATAAAATCAGAAGGGGGGGGGCTAATAATTCTGACTTCAACTGTATATTTTCCAGCCCTGATGTTTGCTTTATCAACTTACAGAAAAACACGGGCATATTTTGAGTTTATTTAAAAAAAAAAAAGTCTATTCATAAGTGGTCACACAGAAATACACTTAATAAACATGGTGAGAATTTTACCAAATGATCCCCTTGTCATCCCCTTGACATTCATTCCTCCTGAAACTATTCCGCTATTAACCACTAATAATGTTTGCCTGAATGTTTTGGAAATCCTCAAACAGTAACAGGCCTGAAAATCACATGTAAATATAAATGATAATGCAGACTCAACATTGCATGTCCTGCAATGTGACTGATACGAATGATCACATAAATGTAAACTTGGCAAGAATTTAACCAAATGATTCCCTTGTAAAAAATTTTTTTTGACATTTATTCTTGGAGCATACTTGGCTGTTAATGTGTTTTGGTTTTTTTAGTTTAAATGTGTGAAATCAGTGTGCACACATGCACTTTACAAATACACCACAAGAAGTCAGTGTTGGATTGTATTTTGAGAGTCGTGGCTGAGGCATACAAGTCAGAAATGCAGATTTAACTAAACAAAGAAATACGTAAATCAACTTGCCAATTTTACATTGTTTCATTTGGTACAGTTGATGTTTTTATCAAATGTGATGCCTTAAATCTAATCAGTTCAGTGCATTCTGCCATTAAAACAATGACTTTGTGCAAGGATGTTTACATACTGACAGTTTTATGAATCTATCTGAAACTATTCCTTCTCATTATGCACAAATTACATTTTTATAAAATAGAAAATATGTAAATACTTTAGGATGTTCAGTTTTCGAAGGAGTTACTTGCCAGGGAGTGGGACATTCTCCCAGAAATGTAAATTTTCACAGGGTCTGACATTTGAGCTTGTCTTCTTCTTCTTAAAAAAAAAAAAAAATACAAAAACAAACATAAAATCAAACAATTCAATGACTGAAACACTGTCTGCCTCTCCATCAAATGATTTCACTTCCAAATCATAGCCTTTCAGGTGTATTGCACATTTTATGTTAAAAATGTGACCGAAACATGCGGACAAATGTAAATTTGTAAAGTGTTTTTAATAAAGAACAAATATCTGAGAACCAAATGAATGACATATTCCGTAACTGAACAACTCACAGAAATCCATCAACCAGGCCATTTTAGACATTTTTGGGATAAAATACTTTTTATTTACGGTATTTCTGTTTTTATTTCAGAGACAGATAATGTACGTTTCTGGTAGAATGTTCATGTTTTAAGTTAAGTTATCATTTTTAAAAGGCTCCGTATCAAATGAACAACGCATCTTTACTGTAATTTTACTTTTTATATAAAATTGCAATTTTTAAACATTGCTGAATTCCAGGAGTGTCAAAATATATCATAAAATTGGATAAAACAACAATAAAATCATTTGTTAATTAAAAAAAAAATTATTTTAGTTAAGATTGCAAATTATTAGATTTATCTTTTGATACAGTTTCATTTGTATACAGTATCTTCAAATGAATAAAAATAAATGTCATTTACTTTTTTCCTCTTTAGAATATAACTGAGCATTTAATTGTCATTTATAAGGGATTTATAAAGCATAATTAGTCCTCACTTTAGATTAGGTCACAAAACTGAATGTAGTTGAGTTCATAAAGCATTTATCAACATACAAATGAACTATAATAATAATGATAATAATAATATATATTATATATCAATGTTATTTTAACTAGTTTATTAATCATTTACTTACACATTCTGAATAATCTTTAAAAAAACCCCAGCAACTTCTCTGAAGTAACTGGTGTGAAAATGATGCAATGCCTAATTTAGTAATGCAAAAAATAAAAAAACAAAGTATGAAAATGTAATAATTAAGCACATTATACAGTATATGTGCTTATTAGTCAAGTATACAGCATTTGTATCTACAGTTATAAACTGCTTCCTAATACATGATATACATGATTTATAGTGTGTAGTTATTATAAAGTGTCACCCAAAAGTTATTTTTTGAGTGTTAAATTTGACAGTTTAAGGTAATTCATGGATGTAAATCTGACTTTTCAACATTACATGTTGCAACTTTCAGGCTAAGTATCATAATTGATAAATATTTAATATCGCTAGGCTTATTAATCATTTGTCATCTTCATGTCAGAAGAGCACATCGCTGTGCTGTTAGTTTGATGCTAGCGTTAGTTTTTCAGAGAGCGGGTTGCGTTGTTAGACATGTGCTTTGCTGCGTGACAGATCACAGACATGTACAGTGAACATTAGAATGTTAAACATGGAAAAAACCTCGCAGGCTGATGATGCGGCGGTGCTAATGTCGAGTTTGCTTGACAAGCAGCAGACAGACCCTCATGTGCTGAAGCCCCCGTCAGGCAGAAAGAGCTGATCAGTGAGGTGAAACCTGCTGTCAGCAGTGCTGATAGCTTTGAGTGACAGAGTAAACGTTTGGCCAGACTGTGCAGTTCCCTCCAGTGTCTCTTCTTTGTTTGACATTACCAATCTTCCTGTTTCTTTCTGTCTTTCAGACTCCTTGTCTGCCTGCCCATCTGTGGTCCTGTGGAGAAGCCCTGACCTCTTTCCTTATAGATATACAGTCCACAACCTGACTTCACTCTGTCCCCTGCCTCATGGTCTAAGTGGACAGATGATCCTGCCGCCTCTTAACATTGTTGCCACAAAGACAGTCAGAAGGAAGTAGACTTGGTGCCAAACTGTGTCTTAGAAGCCTCTGAGGCTGGGAAGCGAGAGGTCAGGAGTTTGAGATATGCCCTCACCCCCCAATGATGGAGGTACCGTACATTTGATGTAATTACAACAGTGACCGCAAATGATTATCCACAATACAACTCTTTCTGTCTTGGTGGTAGATTCTCTAGTAGGTGATGGAGATTTGTCTATTGATGCTGAAGTGTAATGAAACGTATCTCAGTACTTTGACACTGGCTTGAGAAAGCCTTCAGAAATGTTGCTGTTGTTGTTTTTAAATCTTACAGTTACTAGATTTTCAGTTGAAGAGGATGGTTCACCAAAACTGGAAATTACCTCATCATTTGCATGTAGTTAAAAAAGGGACCTATTATGCAAACATCACGTTTATAAAGGGTTTAAATTAAAGTCCCTTTAACCTTCAGGGGTTTTAGGGTTTTTTGGGGCTCTGGAGAAGTTTTGACATGCACTGGCATTTGGATTGTTTTTAGTATCTTAAAAACATCTTAATGGCTAACCAGTTAAACTCTGCGGACGCGGTACCGAGTCCGTGATGCCATCGAATTTCGCTTTAAGATTTAAAGGGCTAGCATTGCACCAGACTCCTCTTAAGTGGTTTCGTTTGAAAGTGTAGAATCACTTTGGTTTTTTTGGTAGCATCACTTTGGTTTTTATTCTACTGTACAAAAGTTATTTACACTTAAATACGCAGTATTTTTGATACCTGAGCTGGGTATGTACAAGTTATAGCTCAAAAGAAAACTCTTAACGGTGCTCATGTGGTTCTAGCGTTATTTTTACAGGATTATATTCCATGGTTTCCGCTACATTCATTCTTCCATGCCGGGGCACCACGCCAAAATTCGTTCTGCCACGGCTAGATTACAGCTGCTCATTCAAAACATTAAATTTTTTTAATAGCGGGTAATAATCGCACCAAAACGTATTAAAGAGTAAGTGAATTATAATAGCGCGAACTTTTCTGTAGCTGTAGTAGTGCTGTGCGTCATTTGTTTAACCCTTTCAGGTTACGTGCTGACTGACTGACTGACAGGTGCGTGATGCGTGAGGCCAGCAAACACAACGTATAGCCGTCTCACTTTACTTCAGGACGCATTAATGTCGCTCTGTAGGTTTATTTGGGAGACATTCATAAATATTCCTAGCAAATCTAGTAAATGCAGGAGACATACTTATTACATTAACGCACTAAATCGCACTTCAGCAGCATTTATTTGAGAGTGCACAAGATCTGCGTGCTCTTGAAGCGGCTTATATTTGAGGGGGTGTGCAAAAAGTTTTGTGCACGAGCAGAGGAAATTGGCGCACAAGCAAAGAGATCGCTTGCTGTAGGCTATTACATAAATGCAATCTCGAATTCTAATATTGCGCTCACGAAATTTGTCATTGAAATAACGCCTGCCGCCACAGCTGTAAAAAATCCTAGAGGAAACACTGTATTCAGATATCAAACAGATGCTGAATGTATCACGGTGTTTCCATGGCGCAGAAGTGAAAACATTACATTTATGATCAATAAGCAGCCCCAGATAGCACTAACAGCTGTCATCTCTTACCTTGTGCTGTGCGCTTCGGGCCATTTCTCCTGTTTTTGAGGTGATGTGCATAAGTAATCCTTTTATATGTCTGACATGGTCCAAACACAGTGAATTATGTTTGATCAAACAAAAGAATAGTGAAATATGAAAACAATGATCAATCCCTGTGGCTTGTACAGCACCTCTCATCAGTTGGAATACAATAACTTTTACATAGACTATGGTAGAGACATTTTTCTTTTTTCCTATGATTACAGACATGCAGAAACCATCGAAATTAATTACAGCACTCTAGACCACACAGAACCTAAAAGGTACACTTTCAAATTAGAGTTTATAAAAAAAAAAATACAGAAAGCGCCTCTTTTTTTAGGTGTTTATTATAACACAGACAGCATATACAGATATTTTAAACACTTTCAATAATGTTTATGAAAATTCAAAGGATTTTCTTTAAAATTATACCAAATTTTTACGTTAACACCTCTGCATGTGGATTTGGAAAGCTTTTAAATTTGGGTAGGCAAACTCCAGGCAGAAATCCCAAAATAGCAGCAGAGTTTAACTGGCTAAAGTGTGATAACACTGTAAAAAGCACAAGCTGGGCTACAATAAGACCCAAGCAGAATGTTTGTATGTGTTTGTGTTTTTGAGAGAAATGTTTATGCGTAGTTAGTGGAAAAACTACAATTTTGAAGTCACTGAAACAAGGCCCTGAAACACACAGAGAACATTTTTTCACAAGACTTTTGCACTGGATCTTGTAGCCTAGTGTTTTTGCTTCAAAATGGTGTGAGAAACATCTTGTTTACTTGCTCAGAGAAAACAATGTAATGAATTAAAATTTCTAAGTCACTTTCTGAGTGAAAATGGTTTATGCAAGAAGGCTTGAATAATCATTACTAATGCAGTGAGTAACACCTGAGAAAACAAAGACCCGCATAATGAGCTGCATAATGAACCATCAGACAGGTATGTGACTAAGAGATACAAGAAAGAATCTGAAAAAAAAATGTATATATTTTTTTGTTTGCAGTTTATTTAAAATATATTTACCTATTAAAAAAATCAACTCGAGATACACTGGCAGGGGTGTCCAAGCTCAGTCCTGAAGGGCCGGTGTCTGGCATGGTTTAGCTCCAACTTCCTTCAATACACCTGCCTGGAGATATCTAGTATACAGCTGAAGTCAGAACTATTAGCCCCCCTGAATTATTTGCCCCATTTATTTTTTTCCCCAATTTCTGTTTAATGAAAAGAAGATTTTTCCACACATTTCTGAACATAATAGTTTTAATAACTAATTTCTAATAACGAATTTATTTTATCTTTGCCATGATGACAGAAAATAATATTTGACTAGATATTTTTCAAGACACTTCTGTACAGCTTAAAGGGACATTTAAAGACTTATTTAGGTTAATTAGGTTTACTAGGCAGGTTAGGGTAATTGTTATTGTATAACGATGGTTTGTTTTGTAGACTATCAAAAACAAAAATGGCTTCAAGGGGCTAATAATTTTGCCCCTAAAATGGTTTAAAAAAATTGCTTTTATTCTAGCCGAAATAAAACAAATAAAACTTTCTCCAGAAGAAAAAATATTATCAGACATACTGTGAAAATTTCCTTGCTCTGTTAAACTTCATTTGGCAAATATAAAAAAATATCAAAAAAAATTCAAAGGGGGCTAATAATTCTGACTTCAACTGAGATTAGCTGCCAACTATTCCAGCATATGTTTTATGCAGTGGATGCCCTTCCAGCCGCAACAGAGTACTGGGAAACACCTATACACTCATGCATTCACACACACTCATACACTACGGCCAATCTAGTTCATCCAATTCACCTATAGTGCAAGTCTTTGGAATGTGGGGGAAACCAGAGCACCCGGAGGAAACCCATGCCAAAATGGGGAGAACATGCAAACTATACACAGACATGTCAACTGGTCCAGCTGGTACTCGAACCAGCGACCATCTTGCTGTGAGCCTACAGTGCTAACCACTGAGCCACCATGCCACTTGCAACAGAAAAATAAATCAAATAGGCGTTGAACAAGTCAATGAAAAGTAAATGATGAGAGAATTTTAGTTTTTGGATTAGCTATCACATTAAAGTAGTTTGGCGACACGTCCTGTTGTTCTAACATCAGTTTAAAAAAAAAAAAACAAATGAAGAGAAATACCTTTGCATTTCTCGAGCCAATATAAAAACCTTAGTGAATGATCAGTGGCTAAATGTTTCTTTATATTCCACAGACAATCAAAGAACATCCCCCATGAAAATGTCACCAGCTCTAACCAATCAGAATGGCGTAAAGAGGAAAGTGCGCACCAAGAAGAAGAAGAAGAAGGGATTCATCACAGCCAATGTTATAGGAACAAAATATGAGATTGGTAGGAATAAACGTTCGTTCTTTCTTTTTTGGTCTGAAGCAGGAGTGCCCGAACTTTTTCCAAAAAACTAAATTGATTGTAAATACACCAAACTGTAATACATAACTTTTTTTTCCATGAGTAATTTCCAAATATTTAAAAATAACTACAAAACATTGCTTAAAATTATCAAAGATATTCACCCCAACCACCTCCCCATCAATCTTTCTGATCTCAAACAGGATAGTGGGCTAAGTCAAAGGTTAGTATGGGCCATCTTTGGCTCACGGACCCTAGTTTGGTTATCTGTGGTGTAAAAAGACATTAACAGAAATAGATTTGTTCTTAAAATAGACATTGCAGGGCAGTGGACAGTTAAAAACATTGAGGTCAAGCATTTTAAGGTAAACTTTAATTTTTATATGCTATTTATTATTACTATTAAAGCAAAATACATTAGCTGTGAACAGAATGTGTCTTAATGTATATTTACAACAATGTAATACATAAATTATGACAGCTAGTTTAGAGCTTAGATCGGACCCAAAAAAAATTGAACTCGAGCCTGTGCACCTTGTGACCAAGCCTGACTCGGTCCAACACTGTAACTGTAATTATGGGTCCGAGCCCGATTTATACCTGACTATAAACTTGGCCAAATTTGCTCACTGGCCTCTGTCCATCATGGCCTCATAATCATCCGCATATCGTAATTAGCTTCATCACCTTGTCTCCTCTCCACCAATCAGCTGGTGTGTGGTGTGCGCTCTAGTGCAATTACGCTGCCATCACGTCATCCAGGTGGATGCTGCACACTGGTGGTGGATGAGAAGATTCCACCCAAAAATTTGTATAGTGCTTTAAATGTCCAGAAAAGCACTATATAATTGTAAGGAATTAACCCTTCATTAAGCCACACCCAAAAACCGCCACCCACCAATCGTGGCTTAGCAACTTCGCCCCATAGTAGACATACTAATAGCGAATAGGTCATAATGACTTGAGTTATTCATCCGGAAAATACAAATTTGCGAATCTGTTGCTAACTTTACTGAATTTCATATTTCCATCTATTTCAAGCTACGAATATTTGAAATTACAAATCAACAGAACAAAACCGAGATATGATCACAAACTGAGAACTTGCGATCAATATACTTTACCCGCAGCTGTTTTTCAGTCATTTATAAAGAGCACACAAACATACTGACAGTAATAGGTAACTTACTGTACATTGTTAAGGGTCAATTATGCTAATATTCGGCACAAATCCACCAGTTTCCCCTTTCTGGCTGTTCTTTCTATGAATGAATGATGTAGAAGCACTGTCCATGCATGTTTCCTCGTCGGTTACTATATTTCATTGCACACTAATTAATCTATCAGGCTTTTTAGCTAAAAAAAGAGAAATCACGGTTTCATTTGTTATTATTAGATTATTTTAAATTTCACCTCTCCTGCTGTACATGAACTAAGCTGTTGAATGGTCAGCGTATGAGGCGGCTAGGCTAGCTTCAATTTTGATTGAATTATTCTGTAATCGGTTGCCTATTATGTGGTGAATATACTCCTGTAATGCATTCTGCAGTCCTTTTTTTTGTCTGGCTTTCTCAGATATCTCACCTGTTTGCCAAAAATGACTAATTATATCCCTGGCAATGTCTGACACCGGCGCACACACATTGTAAAAGCTGTGCCAGGCTGAAAGCTTGACAGGTGTAGCAACAGTAACTAAGGAGGGGAGGGCTTAGCGAAAGGTCAATTATTATTATTATTATTATTAATATTATAAATAATATATTTGTTACTCATTGGCTTAACCAAATAACTAATATCAATTTTATGTCCTATTCTGATGCTAGATTTGAACATGTATGATTAGTTTGACCATGTCTTCTGAATGCATTGATTGGCTGATTTGATTTTAAAGGGCACAAGGATTAGAAGTAAAGGACACAAGGGTTTCTGTTAAAGAATTATATAATGATGAAGTCAGTGGTTTGTGTTCATTCAGTCATGGAAACAAATATGATTCAGTAAAGTCAGTCAATAGATATCATGGGATTTTAATTGTATTTTGTTTTATTAGTTCGTATCGTCATTGAGGAGCTGACCTTTCATAAAGCCAGAGATGATGACGAGACAGCCAATCTCATCTGGAATGACTCTGCCGTGCAACATGAGAAAATCGCTGAGCTCAGGAACTATCAGGTATTGGGGTTTTCAGATTCAAGAAGGGAAAAATAAGTTAAATACAAACATTTTGCTAAAGTTTGTGTTTGTCTCACTTTTGTCTTTCCGAAAACATTCACTGGCCATTGTAGATTATTCAACTGAAGTAATCTAATTTACTGTATGTAACCTTTATGCCTAAATTACAGATTTAAAACATCACCATTTTTTTTTTTTGCTTAAAATCAAGATCAAGATTTTATCAAGTTTCTGTACATGTAAAATAAAGGTTAATATGATTATTGTATTATTGTTTATTTTAATATGGCTATTATTATTGTTAATTCTCAAACATGGTAAAACAACAATAATATTATTAGGCCTGTGTGTAGGTCTACTGTTGCATAAAATGCTCAATTTTGCACAGTCATTATGGTGGACTTGAACAGACTTTCAATATAGGGCTCGAAATTGCGACCGTTTTGGTCGCATATGCGCCCGAAAATAAATCTATGCGACCTCATAGTATATTTTGGCGCATTAGTGCGACTGCAGATAATGGTTGTAGTGCGACCTGTTTTGATTTTTTGTAAAAACGTGCTAAATTGCTCTTCCCTGCCGCTATATTGGTTTATATTAGCTGTCAATCACTCAAGGTATTTCGCTGTCAGATGACGGGGAAGAAGCTTTAATGACCACGGGAAATACAAACGGCTGAAGAGTGAAAACTTAAAGCACGCAGGTTTGCAAACCCCACCTAAAGTTGAGGGCGCAGATGAGAGCGATCATGACACATGGTGGATATTGATCCGCCAGCTGAGATCAATCGAGTATGTGCTTTTCGGAGAAGGCGTCCGAATCTCGATGCGTTGCATTCACTGCGTATTCAGCGCAAATGTTCGCTAAACATCAAATCTAATACTGTACATATCATCGCCAAAGAAGCTCACCTTTAAGTTTACACTGAAACTGCGGCTCATCAACAAACAGCGGTATTGCGCCGGTGGTCATCGCAAGAATCCTGCTCAACCTGCTCATAAATTGGGTTGGCTGACTCGCCTGCTTTCCACTAACACAGAAAAATGAAGATCAGCTCAGACTGAACATTTAAGTTGACACAAACTGAAACCAAAACTTTTAAAGAGTGATAGAAGTGAGACTTTACTTACTTTCTTTTGTCTATTCTTTTTTGAGATGTACATTATTTTTTTATTTATTTACTGATGACTGCTTTGCAGCTATCAGCATTGAATTGAAATATTTATTATAATCTTTTGTTCGTTTTGTAGCAGAAATATTATTTATTAAATTGACATGCATATAAAAACAGCAGTACAAAATAAATATTTCTTACTACAATGCTTCATTTTTGTGTGATGCAAACTATACATTTATTTTTCATAAAGTAACAGACTTTTTATAGCAGAGATTCATGCACGTTCAAGGCAGCATCATAATGAGAAATGTAATTCATTGTTACTAGTATTGTCATTTTCATCATCATTAAAATTCTATAAGTATTAAACATTCATTTTGGAATTATTGCACACAAATATCAAGTCATCACAGCATTAGTTAGATCGTTGTTTCTGGTTTTTGTTAGTCCTATTGATGTTGTTTTAAAATACAATAAATCCCTTAAAAAACAATTTGCAGCGGTGCTCATTCATTTTTGGTGGGTGCACCTAAATTTTTTCCGTGCTCCTAAATTTTTTTTGGTGCTCCTAAATATTCGAAGTTGGGAGCACCGGCGCTACCAAGTAAAAAAGTTAATTTCAAGCCCTGCAATATGTCCTGTTTGTTAATTCACAGTCAAGTGAGGACATCAGAATACAATTATTCATAATTATAAAGCTGAATTATAATGCTTGAGAGATATGCTTGTCATTTGTCATTGACAACATTATTAGACTATTTGTTTTCACTGGCAAAATTAGACATTTGTCAATATCAGATTCCTTCTTGCATTATATTCAACATTATATAGGCTAGGGTAGTTATACTGACACAGTAAGCATTTATTTACACGCACAACACTCTGTTTTCACTATAAAAAAAAAAATAATAAAACTAACAAATGCTTGTCGAAATCATAACTGTAAAATGCATAATGACGTATGATGTCCTTGCGGGCTTCACTTTCACTTTTGAGTGCGGCTCATGGCTGCTGACACTTTAAAAAAAACATGCACCCTAATACACGGGCAAATCATTCTTTCAGCGCCGCTCTCAAACAATTGCTCTGTGCCACAAACTGAACATTATTTACAACTTTATCACCTGTTATCCAAAGCCTATGCAGGTTCTGTTCACTAAAGTAGGCGTCATTGGCGTGCAAGCACATGTTCTCGGTCGTAAACAAACAGCTCGCGGTCAGCTCAAGTGTGAATTTTTTTTTTTTTTCTTGTGACATTTCTGGGTGAATTATACCTTTTAAATACAGTATGTGACTTTTAGCACTATTTAAGAGTGTCCATGTTGCTGTGAAGACTTGTACGGCCGCCTTTACGCTTCTCTCCTGACCTTGAAAATATAATTGGCTGAATCGTAGAAAACCTGAATTAAGATCATGTGTGGGGTCGAATCGAGATCGTGATCTTTTTCCGATTAATCGTGCAGCCCTAGGTTACGCTATCGGTCCACACTACGCAGGAGTTTTTAAGCACCGAAAACCGAGCTTTTTGAAAACACTAAAGAGGCTGTTTTCATTTAAAAATGCTGCTGCTCAATGTTAGTGAGGATGGGGGAAAACGGAGACATCTGAAAACGGAGACGGACCCCAGCCGGGGCACTCAAACTAGCAATCTTCTTGCTGTTGGCCAACATGGCTACCCACTGTGCTAGAGATCTGCGCGGGACTAAATTTTGAATCCCGCTCCCGCCCGCAACCACTAGGTTTTAGCCCAAACCCGACCGCTCCCGCTTATATTAACAATTTGTGGTCCCGCTGCCCGCCGCGCCCGATCCGCTAAAGAGCGGGGAGAACAAAACCGAAAATCACCCAGCTATACAGTCCAGACAGCCAAGCTGTCTGTATAAACACACACACACACACACAGCACCAAGCACACACACACACAGACAAAGCTCTCTCTCTCTCTCATATGCGCGCGCGCACTAACACACACACAAGCACCAAGCAGACACACAGGCGTTTGCTGTTATATCAACTCAAAGGGTTGTAATACCATGCATCAAGTACCAATGTAATACCAAAAGGTTTTATATAAAGGTATATAAATACTGAGTCGCGCCAGCTCCGGGCCGCAGTGCACATTACTCTCGGGCCGATTCCGGCGCGGATGCGGCAGCGGCGGCTCGCTTACGGGCGCCGCATCTGGCCCGATTGAATTCGGCAGCCGGAGCCGGGCCGAGTAGTAAGTCTCCGGCAGGCGAGAATCTAGCCGGAACTGGCCCGAGTGTATTTTGCTATCTGGGAAAGCTCTCTCTCTCTCATTCGTGCGCGCGCACTAACACACACACACAAGCACCAAGTACACACACAGGCAAAGCTCTCTCTCTCTCTCATTCGCATAGCAATATCCGCGATATTGCTAGACAGCCCGCTCCCGTCCCAAATTAAACCCGTTACCGACCGCTCTTGAGATTTATTCAGAAATTTATTCCCGTGCCGCAGAAATCTGGTCGGGTCCCAGACCTCTACACTGTGCCATCGTGCCGCCCCTATTTTTTCAATACTATGTGAATTTATTATATAACATAAATAATATTTTGTAATATTGTAATTATTTTAGCACCGCTGAAGTTACATGTTCAGTTAAAAGACATCAGAACGATCTGTTCTGTTTAAAATTGTTCCATTTATTTTTTTTGAACATCAGCATGGTTTTAGGAAGTCGGAAACTCACTCCCAATCATTCATAACATGTCCATATGAAACAAACGAATAAAACAAAACAAATCTGTCAAATTTTCTGTAAGCTATCATGAGATTACAGCCCCAAACAATCGGCTTTAATGCTTTGCTTCCTGAAACACTAATCATAAAGTTGTTTTCTGTGTTTTCAACTGCACGTTGTGTTTTAAACGCTTGTTCTTCTGTTGTTGTGTGTTTTTTTCTTTTTTCTTTCCGGTGATCGGTTCGGCTGCCAAGCTACAGGTCATATGAGTCAAATTAATGGCCCTGTTCAGCCTCATTTGCTCAAAGAATACTGAAAAACTCTCCACCCTCTCTCCCTACCTCTTTGCATTCAAAGCAATTCATTCATCTGTCAGCACCTACAACTACATGGGCTCTGATGCAGAACCAATTACCTTGGCCCTTAGAGTCAAAATTGATCGTCTTTTTTAGTTTTAAATTAAAAACAATGTGGGGAACTAAATAGGGGTTAAGAAAGGTCTGACAACCACCTTTTGTTTTGAGTCTGTAATTGGACATAAATGTCAAAATATTATAGTCTCAGTTCAAGACTTGGGCTCTAATGTTGTGTTTCTCCTCTCAGAGGTGAATAACCGAGTGCCCTCTAACAGTATGATTATTTTCCTCAGAGGATAAACCATTTCCCAGGAATGGGTGAGATCTGTCGGAAAGACTGCTTGGCAAGGAACATGGCCAAGTGAGTTTGAAAACACGATACCATGTCTGATACATGACTGGTTACAACTAACCTCCAGCCAACAAATATTGACTTTACTCTTTGTCTTTGTTCATTTTAATACCCTTAGAATGATTAAAAGTCAGCCTCAGGAATATAGCTTCATCCCCAAAACCTGGATCTTCCCAGCTGAGTGCACACAGTTCCAAAACTACGTGAAGGAGCTGAAACGAAAAGGCAAGCAGAAAACTTTCATCGTTAAGCCAGCAAATGGAGCCATGGGCCATGGGTGAGTCACAGCAAATCGAACGTTTTACATCCTTTATGGCCTTGTGTTGTTCTTGAACGTTTTTTTAAACAGAGTATTAGTTGGACTGAGCGTAAATTAGTGCGTAATCACATCTTAAATAAATGTTTGTTTTGACATAACATATGTTTGTGTAATGAAAGTTTATTTATATTTTGATATAAAATATATACTCTCACCGGCCACTTTATTAGGTACATAAGCATCAGAATGGGGAAGAAAGATGATTTAAGTGACTTTGAATGTAGTGTGGTTGTTTGTGCTTGACGGGCTGGTCTGAGTATTTCAGAAACTGCTGATCCTCTGTGATTTTTATGCACAACTATCTCAAGGGTTTACAGAGAATGGTCCGAAAAAGAGAAAATATCCAGTGAGCGGCAGGTCTGTGGGCACAAATGCCTTGCATGAGCTGGGAAGGATTTTTTTGCTAAATTGCTAGTTATTCTCTGAAAGATATATCATTGAGTAAGATAAATACCTGGTCTACAATACTTTAATGTTCCTTATGACATTAGAAGTGAAGTACGAAAATTTTTAGATACATAAAAGATAATAAATTCTGAAATTACCTAGTTAGAGTGTGTTGAATTAAGTTTGGAACTGAACTATTGGGCAGCGACCCACCAGGAGAGGTGTTCCATGTTCTGCTTGTTTCATGTTCCATATGGTAAAGCATTAACTCTGGTATTGCAATAGACCTGAACTCTTGCCATAATAATAAACTTAACTTCAACCCTATACAAATACTGAAAGCTCATACCTATGCTGAAGGTGTACAGCAGCAGATGGGCCACTATTTATTTATGACTGTCTTATATCCTCTTGTAAATTAATATTTCTATGGTCATGCGCTACAGCAAGCCGGTACTTATTAAAGCGAGAAGTCATCAAACGTTGAGTTATTATGCTGCATTTAACAAGTGAAAGAAGATCGTCTGCTAGGCTGGAGATTAAATTTGAAAAAAAAAAAAAAGCGTAGCATGATGCAGGAAATTAAGTTATATCTACCCACATAATTTATTTTTCAGGCTGAAAACTAAATGAATATTGTTTGTGTCTAAGCAGAGGCTTGTTAAAAACGGTGCAGGGCTAAAAGACGAGATCCCCATTGGTGCCAAATTAAACAGTCAGCCAAAGTGGGTTTTGATTACCTGCCATCAGCCCTCATCAATCATGTCATGCGATTCAAACAACCCCATTATCCTCTACAACATAGCACAACACAAGCTACTGGACGCTAAACACACACCTAAGCCAACGGTCGCTTGGAAATGAGACTGGAGACGGTCTGCCAATACGGTAGAGATAAGGAAAACTGGCCAGTGTGCTGCTTTTGGCCGAGCATCAAATTCAGATTCTCTAAACCCTTTGTAGTAGCATAAACAATTAAGACTTTGTTTTACATTATGAATTCCATTTTTATTTATCAAAAAAAAAAACTTTTTCTCATTTAGGTAAGTTATGATTATCAAATTTGTTCGTTATGCTTAATAGCAGGATAATGAGAGAGATATTTTTGGAGTAATTGTTATAACTTTTCTTAAGTCAAATTTACATACAAAAATATTATTCTGCCTCTGAAAAAGCTCAGATGATGGTGTCAAGGTTTTGGAAGTTTCTGATTGGCTAATTGACAACATTTGAGTTAATTGGAGGCACAACTGTAGAATAGTATTTAAGGAAAGACTCAAACACACTGCTTCCTTTTGTGACAACATGGGAAAGTCAACAAGCCAGAATCAACAAAAAAGCCAGATTACAATTTGCTAAATTACACTGGGGAAAAAGACCCAGTCTTTTTTTTTTTTTTTTTTTTTGGAGACGTGTCCTGTGGTCTTATGGAACTAAGATTTAACTAAGATTAGTTTGGCCGTAATGACCAGTGTTACATTTGGAGGACAAAGGAGAAAGCTTACAAGCCTAGGCACACCATCTCAACTGTGAAGTATGGGGGCGGCAGCATCCTCTTGTGGGGCTGTTTTGCTGCAGGAGGGACTGGTCCACTTCACAGCAGAGATGGCATCATGAAGAATAAAACATTGTGTAGAAATACTGAAGCAACATTACAAGACATCAGCCAGAAAATTAAAACTTGGCCACAAATGGGTCTTCCAAACAGACCATGACCCTAAGCATACTGCCAAACTAGTTCAAATGTGCTTTAAGTACAACAGAGCGAATGATTTGGAGTGGCTATCACAAAGCCCTGATCTCAATCCTGTAGAAAATTTGTGAGCAGAGTTGAAAAAGCTTGTGCGAGCAACACAGCCTACAAATCTGACTCAGTTCTGTCAGGAGGAATGGGCAAAACTCCTTCACACTACCGTGAGAAGCTTGTGGAAGGATACCCAAAACATTTGACCACAGTTATACAGTTTAAAAGCAAAGCTACAAAAAAATATCAAGGAAATAAATGTAAACTTTTGACTGTCTAGAAATTAATAAAAAATTCTCAAAAACAAATTCTCTTTTTATTCTGGCATTTAAAAAATGTAAATGATTAAGCAATCCAACTGGAACTAAAATAGGAAAAGTTTTGTATGATTTAACATCAGGCCTTTTTAAAAAAAATGTTTGTTCCTTTTTTTAGAGTGTATGTAAACTGCTTATTTCAACTTTATGTGGCATTTCCTATTGACAAAAGAATGCATTCAAAATGTACTGTAATTAATCCTGCAAAGCCTCCAGGAGCCCCTTCTTACACCAGTATAAATGAGACTCAATCAAAGTAAGTCATTTTTAATTGAGAAAATGAGGCAGTGCTATATGGGTCTTTTGGCCCTTGTTCCTGTTTGAGCATTTTCCGCAATTTCATTCTTGTACTAAACAAACAACCCTAAATGGTTCAAATGCATCATAAGCCACAAGAGAATCTTATCCGTTCCTGAGAACATTCCGTTGAGTTTTAATGGCGGTGAACCTCCGCATCTAATTGCACCAAGAACAAGCAAACAACTTCTGCTACAATATTTATCAGCTGACATAACTGACAAATGAACTGTGATAATAAAAGACCCTTAGGCAGCTTGTGATCTTTGAAAGATGGCGTCTCAGGTAAATGCTGAGGCCTTGTGCATACCGGACAGAGTGAAACATGTAACCAATTAAGGCGATGTAGAACATTAGCTGTGTATTTTTCCGTTAAAACTGTTTCTTGTTTGTTAAATATCCACTTTTTACGTTTGGTACTGAGAACACATTAACTTCTGTATAAAGGCCAAGAGCTGGAGATCTGTTCAACCTCAAAACTAAAGAAAATAGATGATGGCAGTGCTTGAAATTGACAGAGACATCTGGTCCTATTAACCTTAGTCTAGTTTGGGTTCACGGATCAGTGAAAGAAACAGTACTCACCATCTCTCTTTCTACAAACTACCTTTAGAAAACACACTTTCATCTCTCTCACACTTTCCCAGACACTTGAACCAGCTTGCACCAGAGATGTTATCACTCCAATTTATCACTTAATCACTCCATATCTCTATAAGAGGCCAATCACACCAAACACGCTTTTTGCATTGAGAGGCGTTTTGTGTTTTTGTATGGTTTATTAATGGATGAGAGCATTTTGTGTGCTGCTTTTGGAACCTGCTTGCCTCACGTTTTAACCTGCACAATGTGCGCTTGCAGTTTAAAGTAGTAAACTTTGAGTGGAAAAAGCGTATTATATCAGTGAAGTCTTTTTCATTTTCCAATCAAATGAAAGAAGAGGCGGGGTTTCAGTTGATGTGACTGCAGTGTTTGTGCTGTGTTACAATTACAGAGACTTTTGAAGATGGAGGACAGAGTTGTGGTTGCTGTTTTGCATTATCTTGTGCTGTATGTAGGCATGGGCTGGTATAAGATTCTAAAAAAATCACGGTATCACGGTATTGCGATCACTGCTCTAAAATATACTCGTTTTAATTATTTGGGTAAAAAAAAACCTTTTTGACCTGTAAATTTTATTTTGAGAAACATTTATAATATTTTAGAGCAGTAAACATGTCTGGCTAAATTATTACAATGAATCATTGAATTCTGCTGTTTGCATTAGTTTCAAAAGCACAGATTTAAATTAAATAATTTAAAATAACATCTTTGGAGATCTTTTATAGAACAGTATAGCAGACAATTTTGGCGGTTTTAAAACCATGGCTGAGTCCGAAACTGCCTACTACTCAGTAGGTACTGCATTTTAATTTTAACGTACTGCTCAGCCGTTAGAAAAGTATGTTCTGTACAGTATGAATGTAAAAAGTACGAATGGAATTCGGACGCACTACATCTGCCATTTTGTCATGGTCACATGACCTAGTTGTGTCGTTTCACTTCCATTCATGAATTCTCTTGCGGGGCATTATCGGATAGCTCAGCGTGCATGGGATGCGCACTCCAGAATCTCGCTGGAAGTAGTAAGTCTTCCGGGTACTCCTCGCATACTGTTTTTCGAATTCTATGAATTCGGACATACTACTCGGCTCACATACTGATTTTAGCATACTATAAAGTATGGAAGTATGCGGTTTCGGACGCAGCCCATGACTTTTCAAAACCATCTTGAAAATATCTTGAAAGCGGTTATCGTCCCATGCCTAGCTGTATGACTTCACAAATCATGAATTTCACAACATATTAAATATTAAAACTATACCAATATCAATAGTGACTGTCTCGCACAATGTCCAACTGATTCAGTCATTGTCTAGGGACATAAAAAGCACACCAAATTTGGTTTCTTGTCAACAAAAAAGAAGTTTCTTGCGTCTTGCTTTTTAGGGACCGATCACACTGAATGTGCTTTTCTGTTCTAAAAACGCGAGGTGCACCACACTGCCTTTTTTGTTGACAAGAAACAAAATTTGGTGTGCTTTTTATGTTCCTAGACAATGACTGAATCAGTTGGACACTGTGCGAGACGTGAAGTAAAGAAGTGCAGTGCACTTTTTGTTGCTAGGCAATGACTTATACAGCTTCCTATTGTTTGCAAGTGTTGCTGCCGATATTGTTATAATTTTAATATTTAATAATAATGTAAAATTTTAAGATTTATGAAGTCATACAGTTCTGGATAACTCAAAACAGCAACCTTTAGTCTCTCCTCCATCTTCAAAAGTCTCTGTAGTCATCTTGACAACACAAACACTGCAGTCACCTCAACTGAAACCCCGCCTCTGCTTTCATTTGATTGGTGAATGAAAAAGACCTGACTGACGTAATTTGCTTTTTCTACTCAGAGTTAACTTTTTACAACTGCGAGTGTACAGTGTGCAATGGCAAAAACCCAGAGACAGTCCTCACTGCAGCCCGCAGCTTGATGACGTAGTTGACCAGGTCCACAACGTAGTTAATGATCGCTTACACCTCCTTACACAGTAGCATGGGCATTACCTTAGTGGGTGGTACAAGGTCCACTACGTTTTTGACTATCGCCTACACCTCCCCCTACCCTAAACCCCACCGTCACAGTAGTATTGGCATTACCTTAGTGGGCAGTATAAAGTCCGCTAATAGTTGACAATCGCCTACACCTCCCCTTACCCTAAACCCAACCGTCACATTAGCATGGGCATTACCTTAGTGGGCAGTACAAGGTCCACCACATAGTTGACGATTGCCTACACCTCCCCCTACCCTAAGCCTAACCCTCACAGTAACATGGCCATTACCTACGGGGTGGTACAAGGTCCACTACTTAGTTGATAATTGCCTACACCTCCCCCTACTCTAAACCCAACCATCACAATAGCAAGGGCGTTACCTTAGTAGGCGGTACATGGTTCACTACTTGGTTGATGATCGCCTACATATCCTCCTACCCTAACCCAACCATCACAGTTGCATGGGTGTTACATTAGTGGGCAGTACAAGGTCACTACTTAGTTGACGATCGCTTACCCCTCCCCCTCCCCTAAACCCAACCGTCACAGTAGCATGGGCATTACCTTAGTGTGTGGTACAAGGTCCACTACGTAGTTGACGATTGCCTACATGATCAAGTTGCGAGCTGCAGCGAGAACATCATCTTGAAAACACAAGGTGCAGAAGACGATTAAACTGCGAGGCCTGCAGGCGCTTCTTATTGCAAAAAGCATGTTCTTTGTGGTCAACCCCTTACAACGGAAAACCGTGTTTGGTGTGATCGTCCCCTAAAAACATTGTGTGTTTCTGAGTGTGCGTCACATACAGTAGGTGACTGGAATTGACAAACCACCCGTAGAAACACTTTTCTCTCTATATGCACCAGACACTTTACTTAAACTCACTCTTAAAAGAACTCAATAAGGAAAACTACGTTTACTTGTGAATGTTCCACTAATCATGTACCTTAAATATCACACAAAAAACACAATATTGTTCTGTCTTGTAAAAGTACTTGTATAGTCGGTTTCAGTTTATGTCAATAATTAAGTATTTATAGTAGATGTATAATTAGTAGTTCAGTATGTTGATTTGTATAGGTTTAAAACATTCTGCATTGTGTTCATGTATACTGTGTGTAGCAACGTTGTCCTCCGAGAGTTACCATTGTATTCCACTGTAGGTCAACACATGTAGTGAAATGATAGTTAAGCTCAACTTGACTTGACGCACTTTGGAGTTTTAAATTTTGTAATGAAATAAAATATGCACCACACATTTTGGGGATGCTATTATTTTTAATGCAATTTTTCTCATTTTCTTCCAGGATATCTCTGATTCGAAACTGTGAAAAGCTCCCGGTCCAGGATCACTTCATTGTGCAGGAATATTTAGACAAGCCCTTTCTTATGGAGGGCTACAAATTTGACCTGAGATTCTACATTCTTGTCACTTCCTGTGATCCACTACGTGTCTTCCTTTACAACGATGGCCTGGTGCGAATGGGCACAGAAAAGTATCACACGCCAAATGAGTCAAACTTGGTAAGTTGGCTAATAGTACAGCAATAGCAATGTACAATACTCTATAATAATACAATGCATAATACCCTGTAGCAGATGTATTTGTGAATAAAAGATGTATCAAATAACTTTAATAATGTCTAAACCCTGTACTCTACTCTATCATAAAGACAATTGTGACAATCAGGGCTTGACATTAACACCCGTCAACCTGCCAAATGCGGGTAGATTTCAGCTGTGGCGGGTTAGAGAGCCACCTCCACTAGCCACTTTGGCTGGTTGTAAATAGTTTTTAAATTGTAGCTTTCTTAAAGCTGGGTTCGACAATAAAGATGGCCCAATGTGCGTGTAAATGCAATCTTAGACGCGAGAAGCAGCACGACTGACTGTGTTTGCGTGCAAGCTAAAGAAAGCAGATGAATACTGAATGAAAGGCTGATCACTGGTGCTAACTGACTGTTTAAACTGTGTGCACTCTCCCGTTTCCTTGCGTGGAGCAACTGTGCCCAGAAACACAACTGTTGTGAGCCGTTCTCTTTCAAATAGACTAGACAAAAAGTTATGCTCATGCATTCACAGTCTTGCTGCTTTCAAGAGCTGTAGATTTGTTTTGTTTTTCATAAGCAGCTCTGGTTGCTTTCCCTTTAACCATTCTTTAGACAGATTATTAATTGGCCTAACGTTAACCTTCTGTGTTTGATCGTCCTTGTATCATCACACATAGTATGTTTTATTCACCTACTTTCTTTTGCTTACAGTTATTTTTGTTAATATGGTTTAATGATCAATTTTTACAATAACATTGCTTTAATAGGAGATTAACTCCATTTAGGTAGGTAACTGGTGTAGGTAACTGGTGATCTGGGACCTTTAACCTGGATTGATTACTGTGCATAGTTTTAGATGCATGACAATATTTCTAAATGTTTTTTTTTTTTTTTTTTAAGAAATGTTCTGTTAAATAAAAAGTATAGTATACAACTGTATTTTGGTTGTTTTGGCACATTTAAAATGTGTGGCTAAGAATAATACATTTGGTTAATGCTTCATTTTGAGTTCTGAAAAGTCATGTGAAATAAAAACTAATTGTAATACCCATGTACAGTAAGACCCATTTGCTCATGCACATTGAGCGAGCTCATACACTACAGACAAAACGTGAAATGCATGGCATGTGGACATAACACAAAATGTAAATCAAGTCATTTTAGCATGTCAAAGTCATATTTATGCATATAAAATATATTTTCTATACAACAGATTGTGGCTAGTGGAAATGCCGAGTGGCTAGTAATGTTGAAAAACTACTTGCCACAGTGGCTGGTGATCAAAAAAGTTGATGTCAAGCATTGGTGACAATACATATTAATTCCCCAAAAAATGTAAGCAAGAATTTTAACTAGGTTTTGGCCGATGTCCGATAAACAACATGATGCTAAGCCGGCATCGCAGATCCTCCTCCTCGCCCCCGTCACAAACTCGCTCGCGAAAAATATACACTAATACGTAAAATGACATTTTAGAACTAAAATGATCCACACCGTGTTTTACCTAGCATTTTTGAACAGCCCTCCGTCCGCTGAAAACGCACGTCACGTGACCACACACACACACACACTAACACAGCCACACACCCACATTCACGCGCTCTAGCTCCAGAGAGCAGTACACGTCGGACAGTTTATCAAGGATGTACAACTGGATCACGTCTCACTATGTACGTTGTTAAACGTGATATTTAATTGATCTTGTCTCTATCTGACGACTCTTTTTGGCCTCGTGAATCTATCAGGTATTGTGTCACAGCATCAGTTCACTGCTTCAATCTTTCACTTTCACACGTGTACTTAGTAATTTTTAGCGAATGCTGTTGGTTGTGCACCTTTTTTACCAACCAACCTCCTGCGTAAAAAGTGATTGACAGGTGGTAATTTATGTGCAGCTTATTATTATTTATTTATGATTTGTTTATGGGTAAAACAAAGACCATGCGGGTCAGGTAGTTAATACTGTAGGCTACAAATAATTAATTTGTTATAAATTAATTAATTATTCATAAATAATTAATTGACCTCCGCCTATGATGTACGATGCCAAATTGGTCAACATCGCCGAACTCCTAATTAAAACTCTCTCGTACGTAATTGGCAGCAAGACTATAGTGAGACTACACACTATATGTATTGTGATGAAAATACTTGCATAGCAAGGTTATAGTAAATCTATTCACAAGTAGGTGTATCCCATTAACAGTGAGTACTTTGATTTGGAGTTTACATGGACACCAATAATCCAGTTTTAATGCCATTAAGACAATACACTGATTAAGAGTCGGCCGTGTAAACCACAATTTTTGAATTGAAGTTAACAGAAATGGAATTAAGACATGTGAAGTATGCCAATTTTAGTTGGATTATTGAAGTGCAATATAGACATGTAAACAGCGCAATCAAACTATAACCATTGTGTAGGACTTTAACCTCATTTTGCGACTGGATAGTCTAAACGCACACTGCTGTTTGACAATATTCTCTGCACCCACCGAGTTAGTGTAGGACCACAGTCACCTGCGTTGCGAATTGCAGAATTTTTTTTCCCCACACGGTGTGCGGTATCAAATTCGATTGAAACAAAACTCATCCAGCAGTTCATACTCGCATCCAATATCTCGTTTGTCACAAGGGGCATGCATGAATGAAAGTGAAAGTGCCAAACTGAAGTTAAAGTCCACAAATTAAAAATAAATGCCTGAAATGACATGAAACTCTGGAGGAAACGTGGATAGAGTGAAGTAATGATGTTCTATAACATGTAAAACAGGATCATGAAAGGATCATGAAAAACAACTCCTATAAACACCTTAATTATATTATTGTTTTGTTCAGATTAAGGCATATAATTCGATTACCATGTAAACGTAGTCACTGTGAGTAAAACATATGTAAATTGTCATATTGGAAACCATAAAATATGGTGGCACTGTAAATAATTATTTTCATGCATTTATTTCCACAGAACCAGCTATACATGCACTTGACCAACTATTCCGTGAACAAACACAATGAAAACTTTGAGCGTGATGAAACTGTGGACAAAGGCAGCAAACGGTCAATTGGCTGGTTCACCGAGTTCCTTCGGATTAATGATTATGATGTGGCCAAATTCTGGGGAGATGTATCGGTGAGTTTTAATTACTACTGCTTTTTATTATTAATCTGGGGCTGCATCACCCTCTTTAGCCCCAAGTTATTTTTTTTTTACACGCATTCTTTGTTTTTCTTTGCTATTTGGGCTTATTGAAACCTAATTAGAATAAAAAGTGTCATCTTTTGATATGATGTACTTTTAGAGAAAAATGATGTCCATATATGTGGACTCGAGGTCCGAATTTACATCAAACACTTTTTCCTGACTGTTTTTTTAATGTAAATATAACATATACATTTTTTTGAACATGTTTTTACTATCAGAGAGTAAAAGCAACATTTTCCCCCATTTTAAACAGTTAAAAATTGTGTTTGGGACGTTTCATATGCTGCAAAACAGTTGCAGGATGACACTGTATGTTTGTAACAAAATAAAACATTCAAAGAATTTTAAAAAGCCACTTAAGAGCTAAAATGTGCTGTGCACGTATGTGGCCACTAAGCCCTAGGAGGTTAAATGCAACCTGACACAAGTCTTGTTGCCTATCCAAGTTTTAGGAATGACAAATAATAACTTGACTTCTAGTTGATCATTTGGTATAAGAAATAACTTAAATAAAAGACAACAGACTCTAGATCATGCTTATTTTACCAAAATAAAACATGATCATGCCTTGATTTTAAATTATTTAATTAGGACACTAAGTTCTGACTTTGCTTAGACAAAAGCCTTGTCGCTTAAAAGAATGAATATTGTGTATGACTCCCATGAGCTTGAGCATCCATGCATCTCTGCAATGACTCAAATAACTCATTACTAAAGTATTCTAGAATGGTAAAGTAAGCGTTCATGCAGGACTCCCAGAGTTCATCAAGATTCTTTGGATTCATCTTCAATCTTCATTATCATCTTACCCCAGACATTCTCAATAATTTTCATGTCTTGTGACTCGGCTTGCCAATCCTGGAGCACCTTCTTAGCTTTCAGGAACTTTGATGTGGAGGCTGAAGTATGAGGAGCGCTGACCTGCTGAAGAATTTGCTCTCTCCTGTGGTTTAATGTAATGGGCAGCACAAATGTCTTGATAGCTCAGGTTGTTTATGTAGCCATCCACTCTGCAGATCTCTCGCACGCCGCCATGCTGAATGTAACCCCAAACCATGATTTTTTTTCTTAACCAAACTTGACAGATTTTGGTGAGAATATTGGATCCATACTGATTCCAATAGGTCTTCTGCAGTATCAGTGATGATTAGGATGCAGTTCAACAGATGATTCATCTGAAAAATCTACCTTCTGCCACTTTCCTAAATGATCAACTAGATGTCGAGATATTTCATGCTACTCTTAAAACTGGGATCGACGACAAGACATTTGTCAGGGAGTGTACAGTAAAAAAGTGACATTTTAACTTGTTTAAATATATGGCATGATGAAAGGTGATTTAATTCAAATGATTTGTGTATAGTTTTGATAAATAGTTTTCCCATGCACTAGCCATCTAGTTCATTATGCTTGGATTTACTGAAGACACTCAGATCTTGTTTTTGTAGCTGCAGCCAATGCTTTGCCTTGTTTGACTGAGTTTGACAAGCTAACGCAATTAGGGCCTTTCACAAAGGTCATTTTTATATCTGTCTCTGCTCTTTTTTTAATTGTCTGTGTAAACATGCGCTAGATGGACAGTTGCGATGCATTTCACAGACTTTTTAGCTTCTTGCATCATGAGCAGTGTCGAGTTAAAAGAGTTTTTTAACTAATATTAGAACTTTTTAAAAGTGTTTTGCAGTTCATATGATGCCATTGATTCACACACATATCAGAAGATGTCGTGCACCACGGTTCCAGTAATGACCTGATAGACTCTGCAATGTTACTTTAAATCAGCCTCCGTGGCTTCAGTTTCTTAATTGTATCAACTTTTCCTGTCAAAGCGAATCTGTGTCAATATGTCAGTAGTGTGACAGCTTTGCCCTTATCTTTTTCCTGTTTCTGTTTGCACTCCCTCTGTTTTCCTTTTTCTTTAATCTAATTGTAAATTTTCCATCTTTTAAATTGAGGGCTAATCCATTCACTAGACATTTGTATTTGTTGACTTATTTGGCAAGCTTTCATAAGTGTTCAGTTTACCCAGTGTGCACCTTAATAATTTAGTGCCTCTGTGTACAGTTGAAGTCAAAATTATTAGCCCTCTTGAATTATTTTCTCAACACATTTCTAAACATAATAGTTTAAATAACGCATTTTTTTTTATCGTTGCCATGATGACAGTACATAGTATTTACCACTATTTACTGGACCTCTGCTGCTGTAGCCCATCCACCTCAAGGTTGGAAATGCTGTGCATTCAGAAATGCTCTTCTGCAGACCTTGGTTGTAACGAGCAGCTATTTGAGTTACTGTTGCCTTTCTATCAGCTCGAACCAGTCTGCCCATTCTCCTCTGGCATCAACAAGGCATTTGCGCTCGCAGAACTGCCGCTCCCTGGATTTTTTTCTCTTTTTCAGACCATTCTCTATAAACCCTATGGTTGTGCGTGAAAATCCCAGTAGATCAGCAGTTTCTGAAATACTCAGACCAGCCCGTCTGGCACCAACAACTATGTTCAAAGTCACTTAAATCACCCTTATTCCCCATTCTAATGCTCGGTTTAAACTGCAGCAGATTATCTTGGCCATGGCTATTTTTCAATACCAAGTATGCAAAGTTCCGACTTGCGTCCTTGAAAGTTCAGACTTGCCAAGTACAGACTTGGAAGAACTAACTATCAAGGACGCGAGCGTCACTTACCTCACCATGGATTCATCAGTTTCACTTTATATAAAAAATTAAATTATTTAATTATGTAAAGCATGGCCTGATAATTAATATTATATTAATATTATAAATCTACATATTTTTATTTAAGAAAATGTCAACATGAATCACTCTAAATGTGAAGTGAATGTATATTGTCAGATTTAATAAACTACATTGGACAAAATACAAGTATAAAGTACAAGACGTACACAATAAGACATTTGGTAAACTAAGACAAACAGCATACAACACGGTAACCCAATTAAAGACAATTATAAAAGGTAACAAAATAATACACCTGATCACAAATAATAGATTTATAAGACCAAAAGCTGTCAGTTAGATATACACAAAATGTATTAAATATCATGTATTAATAACTACAATGGACGATGCAATCCAGCGGTACATCTGTGATGGACTGGCTGATGTAAAGCTGCTCTAGGCGGAGGAGGTGATGACGAAGCTCCCGCTGACCTGCTGGCGGGTCAGAGTCCGCATAAGCTAATGCCGAGTTCAGACTGCATGATTTTCAAAGTAGTCGTGTCACAGATGTTTTCACACTGAATGACTATCTGGGCTAGCGTTTCGTCGCTGCTTTGTTTACACTGCAAGATGGTTCGGCGACATGGACATTCACATTGCATGACTTCACTATATGAAGAATCGCCAACAACTTCGTCCAAACTACGTCTCACAGCCAAAAACATGTAGTATATCTTTTGTTATTAACTACATAATGAGAAAGAAGCCTTTAATGGGGTAGAACATGTACATGTTTGCTCACCTGGGTTTAAAGGGAATTAGCCATTTCTCCTCAACGTTGATAATAAACTAATTTCTTTCTGTATGAAATTTCAAACAGACACGGTTGCTCCTGAGTCCTGTCAAACCTCCACTAGTTTTTCCTCCATTTCGTGGGTCCAAATAAACCGAAAAAGAGCGCTTTTAACTTCTCCCCCAGCCTCCCGCTGGCCTGCAGCAGGTATACACACACGCACACACAAGTGAAAGCTGCTCTCTCTTTGGCTGTAGGTGATGGCTGATGTTATTTTCAGTCAAAACTCATTTCACACGGCATGATTTGAATCGCCGACAGCTCCAGATATTTAGCATGCCAAATATCTCACAGGCATCGGCGACTCATCGGCGATTCTCTCAGATCGCGTCTTTGATCGTTCATACTGTGTGATTGTCACTCACGCGTGCACGGGCAGCGATTTGCCTGTGATTTCAGGCATTTGTCTGCGATTTCTCAACCTGTCGGCGAGTCAAAATCGGGGCTAAAATCATGCAGTCTGAACTAGGCATAAGGCACATCGCCAATAACGTGCTATCTTTATAAATAGACTTCTGATTCAAGTTTAAAACAACTACATTCTCGTCTGAAAAAATCTTAAGTTTAATTTGTAACACAACAGAGGACTATTTTTAAAACAATGCGGGTTTCCTCCTCCGCCATTAGCTTTCGCTAGTTACGCTGCAATTTACATGGACACCAATACTCGGACTGTAATGTGATTAAGATAATACTCTGATTAAGAGTCTACCATGTAAACGTTTTTTTTTTCTTATTTTTTCCATTTGGCCAAATGAAACAGCACTCTTCCAGCACTCCTTACTACTTATTCTTATCCAATAATTGTCACAGGGCATGAGCAATATGTTGCTGAATAAAAGTGAAACTGACGAACTGCAGATAAAGTTGAAAGATTAAAAATGAAACACCCAAAATTACATGATACTCTGGAGGAAACACTGGATAGCCCGGTGATGCCACATTGTTTTATATTGAAAATTTCCTTCTAATAGTCCTTCCTTGGTCTTATCCATATTTCTTTGCACATTGAACACACGTCGGCCACAACAGGAAACTGCAATTGCTCTAATTGCGGAATTTTTTTTTTTTAACGTGTTAAATATTTCAATTTAATCGCATGCGTTAACATGCTAATTTTGACATATATATATATATATATATATATATATATATATATATATATATATATGTATATATATATATGTATATATATGTATATATATATATATATATATATATATATATATATATATATATATATATATATATATATATATGACACATACAGGAACACATTGCACACACACAAGCACAACACTTTTTTTTTTTTGTGCCCTGTAAAAGATGCATGCTGGGATCTAACCTGCTTCTACAGAACTGCATTTTTGGGGTCCACGGGATGCTCTGCAAACGTCCCGCCGGTTATCTGCCCCTCGTACTTCAACACAGGCTCTGTTTAATCATGCAGGGAGACTGCCGGCCTGCCAGACCTGTGATAAGAAAGTACAGCAGTTGATACAGGCCGTCTGTTCCTGTCTTCCTGCGATCTGGCCCTGTCTTCCCATAGTCTGCTGTCAGTCTTTGACCTATCATGTCTCTTCAGGGAACCGGGATGTTAATGAGTCCCTCATACGGGCTGTTTGCACATGCAATGAGATTTGGCGAGCATGTCCTTACTGACAGTTAACACAATGTATCTTGCAATTCCTATCTTGCTATTCAGAATGTCCACTTTTGAGTGTACTGTTTGGTCGTGTTGTCTTTTATAACAAAAGTGCGTTTTGTGTGTGTATTTGCAGGAGCTGGTGGTGAAGACCCTGTTAGTGGCTGAGCCGCATGTGCTCCACGCTTATCGCATGTGCCGTCCTGGTCAGCCACCAGGGAGCGCCAGTGTCTGCTTTGAGGTGTTGGGTTTTGACATAATCCTCGACCGCAAGCTCAAGCCCTGGCTCTTAGAGGTCTGTTTTAACCTCTCTCCTCACTCATTCCACATTTGAATGTTCTGACCATGATAGATACCAATGTGAAATTGTATTTTAATAGCAGCACAGTGGTATCTCCCTCCTCTTGATAATTTTAACACTTTTTTTAATTGATAATGTGTTTGCAGATTTTTTTAAATCTTTTTTTCTAGTCCAAATATCTAAATAATTTTAAATCAAGAAGCATTTTCTAGACATTATGTTTTGTTTTATGATGTGCCAAAATTCTGTGAGGTTTTTCCTTAAATAAGCAAAATAATGTTCACATTATTTTGCTTATCCCATTATCAGATTATTTAGCTTGTTTTAAGGAAAAACTCACTTAATTTTGACATATTTCTTAAAAAAGACTATATGTTTTGCCTGTCTAGAAAATGTTTCTTGATTTAAAAACTTTTAGATATTTAGACTAGAAACAAGACAAAAAATATAAGTAAGAAAAGCATTTTTTATCTGTTCTTACTTGATGTCTAAATGACCTACCTTTGCAGGATAAATATCAATTATTTGAAAATGAAAATTGTTAAATATAATATTTAGCATTTGCTTACTTGCAACAATGCTTATTTTACATAATTTTTGTCACATTTTGGTTAATAGCATAACAAGTATTGAACATGCTGTGTTTCATCTTCATCTTGGCGGACAGCTTAATATGTATATATGTAGGAAAGAATGCGGCGCTCGGCGCTGAAGACCTTTTTTTTCTTTTCATCAGTTTTAGCGAGATAAGGGGTTATTCATGAGTTAGAATTGTTTTATTATATTTATTTCTTTTGTTTGTTCTCACTATCATCCCCTTGCTCGAGTTTAACTAATTTTTGTTTGATACTTTTGTTTGAATTTGCTACTTTATTATATTATTTTTATTAGTGTAAATATTTCTCTTTTTTTTTGTATATTTGGGCATTATTCTGGTTTTACTTTTGTACATTAAATCACTTTTGTTGGCAGTTCTGTTGCTTACACCCTCACATTGTGAAATTACCACACTTTTTAAATGTTTTTCCTTACAAGTAAGTTTCGTGAAACAGTTAAGACATACAGGCATGCGCTTTGTCTACGACACAAATTCTATTCCTGTACTCAACTGGAAAACCAAAATGTTTCCACACAGATGACTAAAATGTGTCTGGGGGATCTGCAATCTCCGTACTATGTGAAGCAGCCATCCTGCGTCCTGTAGTAACGAGTGTGATGCTTACTCAAGTCACATGACATAACATGCACTAAAATACTAACTTTAGAATATAAAATTTAGAACAAAACCTCATCATTACTAAAACAATTTAATTAAATGTGATAATAAAGATGTTTAAATTGGTTCAATTAGTTAGAGACAAGTGACGTCAACCTCAACAATGGGCAGCAGGGGAAGTGAGAGTACCGCGATACGACACGAGAGTTTCGCGATACGTATCGTGGCTGGTGTATCGCGATATTTCGGTTCGGTTTAAATATTGTTACACCCCTAATATATATATATATATATATATATATATATATATATATATATACCTGTTTATTAGAATTATATCATATGTTTTCTTTAGTTAAGTGGCTAATTCGCCATACAAAAATGTACGATTTTTAAAAAAAGGAGGCCTGGCGCCAATCTCCACCCCTCAACCCAATCGTAATCGTAATTGGGTGATGAGCAAATTGTATTAAATTGTACGAATGTGATCATATACGAATTAGCCTCTAAATCAAAAAGCTAGAAGATTAACATGAGATATTTAAAAACTATATGCCTCTGGATTTTTTTTTTTTTTTTATTTGGAGGACACATGTCCTAAAGGCAATAATAAGTAATTCACCACAGACTTTTGTTATTAAATTAAAAGCCTACTAAGGTGTTCAAAATAAAGTAATTTTACTATCTGTTTATCCATTTAGTTTTGAATTTGTGACAGCTGAGCACTCGCAGAGAGCCTGTTTAAGCGCCTCGCAGTGATTGTAATTTCTGATTGATTTTGTTGTGTCACATCTGGTCAATAAGGTTTTTTGGCACTGGAATCCTACTGTTTGTTTTCTAATTAGGACATAGTGTGTGTTGTAGGAACATCTAATTCATCAGTAGAGCTGCACAGTCGTGGATAAATTGAGAAGCATGCTATTTTGCTAAAATGGATCCCACAGTTTTACCACAATTTTATTTAAACGACTAAACAAAATAACACTTAGACCATATTAATATGGTCATATTAAATATATAAATATTCATATTATTTTAATAAATGCATTCTTAATGAATTCTCAGTTCATCCATAAACACTATTTGTGAGAAGGGAAGATTTGTGAGAAGGGAAACGTGAGGGCTTTACAGTATTAAATGGCATCTTGGATTTATTATTTACTGAGCTCACTCACATTCAGGGATTGCTTAATTTGTGAAGGATACATTTAGTGCTCTTAGAATTGGTCCAAAGTAAGATATTAATGTCTCCTTTTTGTTTTTAATTGGGATTTTCTTTGATGCCTATGTTGGTAAGCAGCCCAGTGGGTTTTGTAGAGCAGGAATAATGAAATCATTACTGGACATTTCTGACTTACATTTGCCTTTGTCTTGCTAAAAACAACATGTTTTGTTGTGCTCTTGGTCAACTTTTCACCATTTAAGGCAAAACTTTTCATGTAATTTAGCCAAACAAGCGACTCCTACTGAAAGATGATCTAAAGAGGCAATTGTTTGTGTGTTTGGAAACAGTCAGGCTAGGGTTTGGCATTTTTGGTTCTGTTTCTCATTTTCATTTCCTTTTTCTTTGGCGTTCTGTAATGTCGGATGACAGTCATCTAAACATGTTTTTTTTTTTTTTCCAGCTGCTTCTAGCAAGGACATTTTTTAAGTCAGGCAACATGTAGTGATTGCACTGACAATGGTGTTTCACTTAGTGTTTGTAATGGTTATTATTTCATCTAAGCATGAGTTATAGGAACTATGGGTGAAATATAGAGAGTGTGTTTAGATAGCGTTTAACTGTTTATGCAGAGGAGAGTTCAAATCTTAATTTAAGAAAGGGTCACAGTAGAATTTTATTTTGGTTTGCAAGATTATCTTGTTTAAAAGTTCTACAAACAATTATGATTTCATTTTTGTTAAGAAACTACTTGATTAGTTAACTTTATTTACATAAAAACGATTAAAGCACACACTGAAAGCACAGGGTATCTATAGCGTCTTAAAAAGATTTAAAATGTCATTGATTTCAAAAAAAAATTTTTAGGCCTTAATGTTTTAAATTCACTGAAATAGTGTGGGTCTTGTAGGTCTTAAATCATTTCAAATGGGTCTTAATTTTCCCTTGTTTATGTAAAGCTACCCAATCAATCCAACTGACATACAATCGTCAACAACACAACAAAACAATTCAACAATCTCAATAACTTTTAGCAAAACTGTATTTATAACTAATTATAGCAGTATGTTGTCCATACAATTAGTTCTTAAAGAGGTATTTACGTTATGTTGAAAACTATTTAAGTATATAACTATGACCTGCTTGGTTTCACACATTATTTAAATAAGAGAGAGCAAATAGCTAATTAGAATTCGTTTTTGATGGGGCAAGTAATTGTATTTTTTTTTTTTTTTTTTTGCTGGGACATTTAAAAAATCCTTGGCATTTAGCCTTAAATATGTCTGAAATTGCATACTTCGTGGTCTTAAAGTCTTAAATTTGACTTTGTGAAACCTGCAGAAACCCTACATCTTACTCAGGTAAAAGATAAAAAACAGCACCAAATTATACAAAAAAGTGTTATTTACTTTATTTAGAAAAGGTTAAGTCAAAGACATTTCAGTCAAAGGTCTTCATGAATCTGATATATTGTCTTTAATGGAAAATTTGCACTTTTGAATTTTTTCAAATATATATTTAAAATGAGTGTAGATTTTTTTGTATTATTAGTACGTTTCAGGGCTCTCTTTTAAGGATCTAAGCGCAAAGTCTAAAACGCAAGGTACTTTAAAATTATTTGCCATGTTAAGAATGGAAAAATATGGTCTTCACCCCGGCGCATGGTCCAACAGGGTTGTGCGTGTTCTCTTAATGAGTTATGGGTGTGTTTTGAGCATAATGCAGATTAAACTAATTAGAGTTTCATCTTCTATTCCCTTTAAGAGTCAGTTGCATCGCGCCATAGCGTATTTGCTATTTACATGGCGGTCTTTGTAAGTGGAAAAACTGAACACTTCACTATCAAGAAAATAGTTAAACAGAGCATCTGCAGCGCGAGGATAAAAAAAACAAGCCTCCTCCATTTGACCTCATTACTTCCTCCTTACTTTATTTGTACTCTTTACTTTACTCCTTTACTTTCATGGATAAGGAAACGGTGTTGTACACACCCCACTGAAGACATCCATTAGAGCATTTGTTTCAAAACTATTTCTACATTTAGTTCTAAGTTTAAGCAAACAAATAAATTAACAATAATAACGATGGTTGGCCATATGTAATGATATTTGTGTATCGCAGAACATCCTGTGTGTATTAAGTAATGTGTAAGTCTTGCATAGACGCAAAACTAATGCAGTGTGCGCTGGATTTTAGACCAGTTTTAGTTGGTCATGGTGGCAATCTATTTCAGTTCCTCAAAATAACAACGCACCAACAATGCACCTTAAAACGGCTCCTTTTTAGACCAGAACAACCATGAGTCCACAAAGTGATGCAAATGGATTAGCTATAGCCAGCATCAGGGCATGGATGCAGTGAGCCATTTTTTTTTTTAACATTTCAGTGTTTACAAATAGATTACATCAAAAAGAACACACGTACAGTAATATTGATAAACCATACATCAGTCTAAAACTGTAAACCTCGATGTGCAAAATATGAAAATTACAGTTGCGCTCATCTGAAAATAGCAACAAATCGGGCCATACAGTACATGTCTTTCGCCGTGGTGTATGTTAAGGCCCTTAGTGTTTTAACAAAAACTATAACAACAATATATTTTAGTGTTTAGTC